ACACGGTCCGTTATGGTCACCTTTTTCTTTGTAAAAATCATGTCATGGACGTAATTTATTTTTCCCTTACACCAAGTACATTTTTATGAATTATCTACGTAAACCAGGTACTAATAAACAGCTACATTATTATTACAAATCTTTCTGGATTTTTCTCATAGGATAGTCAGTAACATTACGTAGCAATGACTGGATACCTCTAACGCGTGAAGAGAGCGGAAGCTGAATGCCCGCGGCGGGAATTGTGGGTGATGTCAATTTCCTTTACTGACATCTGCCAATCATTCATTGTTTTATCCACCCAACATCAGCTGCTGAATAATTAAGTAACTTCATGTACATAAAGAAAGAATTAGGTCTCTAAACACATATCAATACCTTGATTTCTTATTGCTAATCCTTTAGATTATTTTGTATTTGTGCAAACCATCAACTAGAAAAGCAACCTATGATATAATTTTTATTTAATAAATTTAATGTATAAAACATTTTATGGTATAAAAAGAACGTTTTGTTTCTCTCCTTGTAATATTTCTTTGCCAAATAGAAATATGAGCTTGATTGTATAGAATGCCGTCTTACTTCAAAACATTGAAATGTGAATTGATTGCTCGTTCTTATTTTTGCCCGAACTATCGCAGACAGTAACTACAAATTACCTATGACATCGTCTCGATGTGAGTTCCTGTCATCAAGGGAAAAGTGTAAAATTTCATCAACTTTGCTATTTTCATATTCAAATCATCTTTTGCAAACAACTTCCAAAGCGTAAAGAATACAAAATGAGATACAACGTTTAAGACGGCGTTGTAGATAGAATAGTGTTAAATTAGAAAAAAGTGCCAAATTATACGGTTGTTCGATCATCTCGGTTTTCACAGCTTCGGTTCACCCTGATTTGGGGGGGTTTAATTCGATCGCAATGACTGTGCTACTTCACGCTCTTCGCGATACGTCATGAATTGGCTTTGTGTTGGTATGCTCTTCAAAAGATTTTTTTCTCGCCCCAAACTAACCTTGCGAAAGCATAACCTTTTGAAATAAGATAGGAAAATTTGATAATCTTGAATCTTCATTCTTCGTTGCTATTCGTCATATATTGAAATATTTACTCCAGAAATGCATTTGCAGACCACCGCCATAAATAGATGCATCTACCAAAATAGAATTGGTGCATCATATCTTCAATAAAAAAGACTTTATTTTGGATCTTTTGAAGTTTTATACCTTGTTTTGTGTGTTTTTAATGTTTTCTTTGTCATATGATTTCGTGAGAGTTGACGGACTATTTTTCACTGACTGGCGAGAACACCACCTCATTGACAAGACTTTGAAAGTGTCCGGGATGAATAGGACTATTCTCTTACACAGATATGTAATTTGTTATCTACCGAATAGCGCTGGGCGTTGTAAGGTTTCATGTCATCATCTTCACCTTTTCTGAACGCCGGAATCTTTTCATCTTACCCACCTGCATTTTGTTATCTATAGTTTCAATGCTTCATCCGTAAATAATATGGCAGATGTCAGGACCGACGACTCGCAGAGTCTAATTAATCTGACGTCATCTGATATATCAAAACAAATAAATTACAATGATGAGATTATTAGACTCACCAGGTCATTTGTTAAGAGATATTTTGTTTGAGATCTTCAAACAATGCGAAAAACAACAAAGTTAATTATTTTTTGGTCTTATTAATTTAAATGGACAGGGATTAGTCAGAGAAGTGATGTTCAGTGCAAATAGCAAAAGTAGTTGGGCTATGAAACTTAACTTTCTCAAATTGTTTTGTACGATTTAAGATTTGATGAAACAAGAATATAAACAGTTGAAACTCAACATTTCGCAAATTATATGATTGATAAAAAAGACTGATCTAATCAGCAAATACATTAATGGTTAGACCATTATTTACTATACCCTGGGTTGTCTACGAAATTTTTCTGTTAGGCCAATCATGATGACTGAAGTGGCCAGTCCACAGGGGATGCTCACTCCTTCATGGCACCTGATTCCACCTCTTATGTTTTAGAGTCCTTTGGTCTGCTCGAAATTAATTTGTATTTGTTTCTATTGGCTTTTTTGCTTGATGACTGTTTGTTCTCTCCATATTTGATACAGACTTACTGCTTTGTGAATTTTTTTCCCCAATGCGATGACATCAATTTTCAAAGTCATGCTTCCTTCTTAAAAATGTGTTTTTAACTCTCTACCCCTTTCACTCTCTTTCATGCCATCAATACAAGTCTAAGAGATGGTCGTTAAATTTTGGACCAGTGCTTGTGATCAGACGACTTCCCGCGGAGTTCTATTGATACTTGACCTTGATGTGGTCTGGACTTGTTACCACTATCTGTCTATGTACTAGTAATCCTATATACCAATTCACCATATCCCCAAATACTTCAATGCAACTTCTCTTGCCATTTAGTGGATATTTTCTTAATACTTTTTAATAGTCTGATCCTGATTTTGAATGACAACATTGTAAGAATAGTTGTTTTTAAGCCAGTGCGGGATACAGCAGAATGTACTGAGAGTCCAGTAGCCCTGTTGTATGTTTTCTATACCTAGCGCCGTCCAGTCTGAGTCGGTGTAAGACCTATTGTTCCAAGCAGTGTTGATCCCCCACTTCAACACCGCAACAACTGCAAAAGCTAAAGAAAACCATTTTAAAAATGAAGAGACTTTATTCAACGTTGATACCTACTTCAAAAGAGAAAGTCTGAAGAAATAAAACGACTGCAAATCTTCTTATTCTGCCCTTTATTGAATTTAATCTCAAATTCAAATATTGTAATCCTAAAAGACTAAACAATGATCTTTTTCTATTTCAAGTTACATAAATTTCTTGGACCAAGGTGTAAAAAAAAAAGACGAAGTCAATTCTTTAAGGATTTTAATGATTCTCAATTGGATCTTTGAACATTGATTTTTGATAGTAATATTTAAGATTTAAACTACAATCTAAACGCCTCGAGTGTTTGCTTAAGAACTGTTCTAAATGACTTGTAGACAAGTATCTCAATAATCGCTGTAATAAACCCATTAGCGCAAGACAAATTTATTTATTTGTTTGTTTGTTTGTTTGTTTGATTATTAATGAATTTATTTATTTATTCATTTATTTACTTTGCTCCTTATTTTATATTTTAGTAATTTGCAAAAAAAAGAGTTTTTTTTCATTGCGTGTAAGCAAACTTTACGAATATTTTTGTTATTTTTTTTTTTGTCCTTTTGCATTTAAATGTTTCTTGCATTTGGGTACAAAGTAGTTTTTAGAGATCTTATTTACGCGTCTAATATCGTCCACAACTCTTTTCAGATATTTCTTTTTTTCAATTTTATGTACTGTTCAGAGAAAATGAAAAAAAATTATTTAGACTTATAAAAATAATCGACACCCTTTTGGTCCAACATTACTCAAGAAAGGCAACTTCAATTAAGCTTATAATTCTTCTGATATTATTTTTCCTTTTCCGAAAGAGTAATTCAAGAAATATGACTATATGCTTTAGATGTAATCGCACTTACGTATCGACAATATGTAAAGCATTTTATCAGAGAGAGATATAAGGGTCTGTGTTCGGGTTTTCTCCCCCTGGGCTGGTGATGACGATCGGTGATACGGGGTGGAAATTGTTTCAAAGTTATCTCCCCGTGATCTGTGATCTACCAACCTTTTATTTATACATGCATGAATTCTTTAATTATCATTTGGACCCTGTCCAGGGGCCATTGTTTTAGCTTACTTTCTTAAGTACAGTCAAATGGCTTTTACACTTTTATATTTGTATTTAATAGAAGAAATTAATTTTAATATAGAAAAATATTTGTGTTTACATACACTTGATTAATTTTTAGGATGCTCCCCCTAATTTTCTCACGGTGTTTTACTCAATATCTTGGTGTGAAACAAAATTCTTTCAAATTTCGTAAATTAAAAAAATACTCTTGTTTGTGTAACAATTCAAGGAATTTAACAACAGGCTTTTAAAAACAAGTAAATCCAATTAGCCTGACCGTGTGGCGTGTTTTTTACGTTTTCTTTGGTGGTGTTGAACCATTAACATGGAGCATTACTCGTCAGTGCTATATGACGTAACAATGACAGTGCCGATAATCCATTGTTTAAACAAAAACATAAAATACTTCACAGTCATACTATAATAGAATAAGTACTTCTGTTTTTACAGCTCCGTGCAATTTTCAAAGGTTTTCTTCCACTAGTTTTTAAGGCAAAGAAATTGTTAATTCGACATGTTAATTAATGTATAATTTTGTTAATTCGACACATAAATAAACTTTAAAAAATCAATTTATCTTACTGCGTAAAAGTATCGAGTCACGTCACTGAAATAACATTCTTTTCTCTGATTAAAGAAGAAAAATAAAAAAATAAGTTCTTCGTTGAGAAGAATAACTAGAATATATCTCCTAAGTAATTTTTTTTTTTTTTGTAATTTCCATAACATATCACTATATCAATTAAATACATTCAGACAAAGAAAAGAATACCGAGAATATATCACTGATTCCTTTTATTTTCCTGATTTTTTTGTTTCGGTGCATAACACATTGTTTTACCTGCAGAATCATGTGTAACAATTATATTGATTTATTTACTGTATCTTGTTCTTTTTTTAACTGTCCGACAAATACTTATCATATATCAAGTGCACTGTACTGCAGTAACTTCGAAATAAAACCAAAAAATTTTCTAATGGAAACGGAAATGTAATAGTCAATTGTAGAAATTGTGAATAAAAGACCAACATTGTGTATGAGTATTTCCCCTTTGAATTGCAAACTCCTGGGAGTATCTTAACGCTGATGCATAAAAGACTGAATAAACATTATGATAAACGCATCACATATTATTCAAATTAGCACCGTTAACTCCGCCTATTAGACACGCCCACTTGTTTTCTCACCGAAGCGTGTTCAGCTCTGACAAGCCCCAAATATTCCATACGTAGATCGTTGGACTTATTTTGGATATATGCCTTTGGGCTAGATGTGCCGTAGCGAATCTTGAATCGCTGTTTTATCTATTCATGCTGATTTCAATTTGAAAAAAAAGTAACATCATTTTTTTAACAGTGAAAATCGTTTGTTAGGTAATAATTTTGTACACGTGTGTTGGACATTTAAACTACTTGAACACTAATCAGTGGTATTGTGAAGTCACTGAAATGGAACATTAAAAGCATTTACAAGTCACTGGATCGAACTTCACCCCCAGGGATAGATTGTAGGAGTGTGCCGGCCCAGTATGGCACAAGTTAGCCCCGTGGGGCACGTTGCGACTGCGGAGGAAACGGGGCAGGCTAAAGTGAACGGGAGCGGATCTATAACTGATTTAGACCAATCTCAGAACTATTATCGTAAGGAGGAAATGCCCGAAGCGTTTGATGGATTATTAACTGAATCAGAGGTGCATATACAATAATTTCTTTTTTTAACCTGAAAGTTTTATTTTCATGTTTAGATAAAAGTTCTGATGGTCTATTTGCATTTAAAATTAACTGCAGGGGTCTTGGTAATTTCTTTGGGCTAAAAAAGATTTCAAGTGTTCTCATTGTATCTTTAAAAATATTTAAACGACCGATTAAGAGTAAAGTCTAGAAAAGAGAATATTTTTGTTCATTAAGAAATTAATCCTATCCGGAATGACCTACCAATATAAACTGAACAGGTTCCATCAACACACACCCCCGATAGACGGTAAAAAGGAAAGTCGGAATTCACATGGAAAGAGAAATTGTTCTTTTTTGTTTTCTTTCACTGAGTGCTTTGCTTTTATTTATGTTGTGTTAATTCATTCCTGGTATCAGGAGAGCAGATAGGTTGTGACTAATTGAATTCCAGGCAGAAAGAAGGGAGTGACTTAAAAATCCGATACTAACCCTCCCCCTTCATACTTCATTTGTACTCGGCTTTGGTTCATATCGCAGCGGATGCAGCCCATGGAATCGTTTTTAATTGTTCTTTAATTTTTTCTTCCTTCTGAAAAAAATGCCTGAATCTTATGCATACACGGTAGGATCACGTACACTTGATGAAAATTTTGGATACATGTATTTTTTTTCAGTGACAAATTTTATCGTTTTAAATAGGTGTCTATGCTTGGGGATAATTTTATAAAAAAATTTTCTTTTCGTTTCAGGACAGACGCGATGTCAGTAGCCATGGCGGTTTGGGACAGTTGGTCAGCAGTGTGTCCACCACGGGGTCTTTCCCCCCCGCCCCTCGACTTTCTCACACACCGACCTCAGATTTCCAGCCACCCTATTTCCCCCCTCCTTATAATCTCCCATCCCAACAAACAATGGACTTTCACCACCCTCACTTCAATGCGGACTCGTATTCACATTTGAGTAATTTTCATCAGCAATCCCAGCAGCATTATCATCAACTTCACCCCCCGGAACGAAATGTGCTACGCTACAAAGAGGAACCCTTCCATAATATGCACCCCGGACTTACACCACCCCACTCAGACTACGGTGGGATCCGCCGTCCGGATATTCTTATGTCCGGGGGACACCCATTAGGATTTGGTGATCAGAATACAAACTTGTTAAATATTCACCCCTCAGCGGGATTGCCGGGAATTGAAGACGGAATTCACCAGGTAAGGAGAACCATTGTTTTCATTATTACGGTTTTAATATTATTTTCTCACTTAGAAAACTCAATAAGGGGTAGTCCTTGATTGAGGTGGTCGCTGGATTTAAGAAAGATGTGACCATAAATTGTTTGGAAATTATACTATGTGAAGGGGTACATCTCCTCGACCCTATCATTAGTTAACCGTCAAGAGGAGTTTAGTTACATTCGATATTTCAGCTAGTCTTAATGCTACAAATTGTTATGAAATGTTCTCTTTCTATCTGCCATTTAATTGCTAATTTATTGATACGAGAAGATATAAAATGAAGCATCAAATTTGTGTGGTTTCCTCTGAGAATAATTGGATAGAAAACTGTACAATGCATCGCTTCTTTAATGACATGGTTAAAAAAAGAAATTTGGCAAAAATATGCTGGATTTATCATTTAAAGTACAATTATTTATTTTTTTATTTATGTTTTTATGGCCTGTATAACGTTCAGTAAATTAATTATTTTTACCCCGAGGCAAAACAATTACACCTATATTTCATGTATAGAGAGAAATGTCCTAATAGTACACTGAAAAATAAATTGTCAAGGCATCTTACGTTCAAAATATGTCTCGAATTCCGAAAGCTAAGTTATACACCAATATGAAAAAATGAAAATAATTTATTTTTAATTTATACATTAAAACAAATATAAAAATCAAAAGAAAATAGAACTTTGAGAATTGAATTTATTAGAGACTGAGAATGGAATTTATTATAAGATACATTTTTAACATATTGAAAGCAGTACATGTATTATGGTATTTCTTTCAAATAACAATTTTTTTTATATGTATAATTTATATTTCTCCGGATAACTTTTATGGCACCACACGATGACAGGAATAATGCATATTCATTTATACAACATAGTTGCAACTTTATGTTTTCATTGCACTTATTTTTTTTCCAAAAGAATGTCTTTATTTATTTTCTTAATTAATCTAAATTATTTTTTTATGAGGAAAACCGCGTAAAAGCCCCCTTTTGTTTCCAATTTATAATTTATTATTCATGCATAAAAATAGTTTTGAAGTGATTATAGTTTTTTTTTTAAATAATAGATGGCTCTAAAATCTTTGAAATTTTTGCCATATTATAACATTTCAGTCGGGTGGGTATCAATTTAAGGGATCTAAATAGTGTCCTTTAATTCCGTCACTTTCCCTACCAGAATAGATGATGCTGTTCATTAGAGCGTCCTTACGTGATGTAACAACTATAGAATAATAAACCGGAGACAGGTATCTCTCGGCACAGTTTCCGGATTGACAAATCAGTCGTACACTCTTTCACAAAGAGTCTGTTTAAATTCTTTTTATAATGTTGATCTTTAATTAAAATTCCCACCCATGCAAGATGCTAAGGAGTAATTTTTAAGCCATTTTGTTTGCCCGAGTCTGTCCTATCTCCATTGATAACTCGTAAATGGACATTTCCTTTTAAATTCGACAGTCTTAATCGAGTACCACTAAGTATGGAACAAGCGGACCGTAGCCCCTTTTACCAAACGTTTTAGTCAAGAACGCAAATGACCGTAACCTTCCGAATGTTTGGAGCCTCGCACGGACAACCTCTGATAACATTTGGGTCGGGTTGGGAAAGCTGTGACAGTTCCATAGCAGAAGATTTACAGAGCGATGTCAACCAACAATATTATTTGTAACTTAATATATTATTGTTCACAAGTCCCCACATAGACCTATGTAGAGGTCTGCTTAACGCTTATAGTACGACCAGTTAGTTTTATGTCGGTAACATGTGTACAGTTCCCGTGTTTTTCTCTCTCACATAAAAGTCTCTTTTATCCATTCTGTGCGCATCAAACATCTCTCTTTCGTTACACCACAAGTTTTTTCCCTCCTATTTTGTATATTTATGCAATTTTTTAAAGACGTGTTCTAGTTCACCGAAACAAAATCTGCAATATTTATATTTTATTTTAAATTTTAAATATACTTGTTTAACATTTTTACCCATAATTTTTCTGTTTTGTTATCAAATATATGCTTATGCTAAGAAAAAGGTAAACCCCTAGCTTCATTGCAACACTGAATATTTTTAGCCGTGTTACATAAATAAGAACAAGTATTTATATTTTGACACTCGAATGCACCTGCATTAATCTGTTGCTAAGTCACTCAAGGAAAACCATGTACATAAGTAAAAAATGTTAAAAGGGAATTCAAATAACTTTTTTGTGCTAGCTTGCACATTTAGACCTCTTTAGTTTTTGTCAAAAAAGTTCTATCCTTTTGCATACAATTTTGCTATTCCTTCACCTGGGGAATACTAATGCAATAGCATAAATAAATTTTAATAAAATTCAACCCAAAATATATTTTCCACCTGAATGAATCTATTACTTATTCTTCAGATAAGTCTGTCAAATTTTTTGGTTTTCTGTCCCGAATTTTAATATTGTAAACGAATGCATCATAGATAAACAAAACAACAGAAAAAGTAAACTGTGAGTCTTTAAATTTGATACCATCTTGGACCTTCCCTCTCAGTCGGAAATCAACCAATTCTGGTTTATAAATTAATACTAATTTTTTACTTTTCTCTTGTTTTCTAAATGCAAGATAAATGCAGGTATTTTAAAAGTTTCTCTTCTTTTGATCCTGTAAACCCACGGTCTACAAAACAGGGCTTTCACAACTATGTTGCATAGAGGCTGTTCATTGCTCTCCTACAAATAGCGTGGCGTGATGGAAAGCATTTTAATCCATAAAATTTGTTTAAATTACTCTTTTTACATTTTATTTTCAAGTGTTTGAAGTGATAAAAGTATTTCAAGTACCGGTGATAATAGATGGCGCTTACTGGTCTACAGCTGTTTATAATGGCGGGAAGCAGGTTAGGATGCTTTAACGCCACGACAATATGGGAAAATACAAATTGTGTCCAGGCTAGAAATACAGTATTGTTCAATTAGAGATGAATCTTAAATTATAGATAGGACAAAGGGAGGAAATTTGAAATTCAGGACCGTGTTCTCAAAGATTTTTTTTGTTTACAATAATTGTATTTATATTTATGCACCGGTATATATTCACATACAGTACTTTTACAATTATTTATATATATGTATATTTTTTTTGTGCGTATTAGTACATGAATCAATGAATATGTAAACTTGTCTGAATCTGAGCACATCTACATCAACTAAGAACTATACCGTGGAAAAATATAAAGTAATCAAACGTATAATCGAAATCAGATCTCTTGAAAGAATGAACTTTTGAAATTAGCCAAGATTTTGTTCGTCGACTCTTTGACCATCATCGCTACCACCTTATTTGTAGAGAGCTGCCTAGGGGCCTAATTTTCTGTCAGGTCCATATTGATTGACCGGGACCTTTCTTCTATTTCTCTAACAAAGTAATCCTTATTGGAAAAACTGATTTCTTAACTACCGTCATAATACGGTTTCCCTTTCTGACTCCCTAACCCTTTCAAAGAATATGACTACAGTACAACTTTTTATGGGTCATTTTAAATTTTTTTTAGATATTAACGCTTTTATTTTCGCTATCAACGCATTAAAGCACAAAAATAAAATTTGCCTTTTAAAATTTTCCCGTCTTGAATGTGTGCTAGGAACAGACTGACCAAAGCTTCAAATTTCAAACCACAAGCGGACAATGGGTACCATTACCGTCCCCTGATTCAGTGATATTAAATGGACATTTGACCTATCATCTCAACATGACCTTCTAAGTTCTTACATAACAGAGAAAAATGACTATGGTCTGTAACGACCTAATTTATTTTCCTCTAGTTTCCTTTCATGGACAGTCAAAATTTAAAGCCATTAAATGTTATGACTTTTTAATATCAATATCATTTCAGAAGACAAAATTAAATTAAGTTAAACATGACAATAATAGAGCTGGGTCAGTTCTGGTTTTAGGTAGAGGGTGTGGTATTTTGTCTGGATTCCAATATCCCTTGTCCTTTGAAAATGTAATTCACTATCTACTCTACCATTGTCTCAAAAGATAATTAGGATGGTTTTAAAGAAAAATCAATGAAAACGTATGTTCAGATATTTTCTGCATGTTGCAATATCTTGTACAAAAACAAGTAACCAAAAATCTTATTGGCTGTAGACACGTGTTTATGTATGTTGAATCAACATGATGGATAGGGTACTCGTACAGATCGACCCCAGTGACAAATCATCCCCAATACGTCCATCATTTCCACTGACATTTATCCTACTGTTTCTATGACAACGGCAGAAACAGACTTTTTTTGGCCCAGCTTTCATTTTTCCTTACTTTAATTAATTGACTGTTGGCGACGACCTGATAAACAGGGAATTAAGAACTACACAGTTCTTGCCACTTGGATCTTTATTTTTCTCGGGGGACAGAATTTGTTTTTAAATCGAACACAACCAAGCAATAAAACAAGCGAATAGGGGTTTTCTTGTTTTATGTTGTTATATAGTTTTGTAAATCATATGAACATTATTTGCAATAGTTTTATTTAATGTCCGTTTGTTTTCTAATTTCAGGGGGCAATAGATGAATCCGGTAACTACATATCTACCGATCACAACGGGGTCATAAGAAAGGGTGAGTACTTTTCATTTTCAAAAAATGGCGGTTTTCTTAAATGTTTGAAAGACATTTTTTATCTTGTGTAAAATATGAACATAATTGAAGCCTATTACTTAAGATAAAATGACGAAATTGAAATAATTAATATCAAACAGAAAGATATGTTATCTTAAAAAATAATAAAATTTTTTGTCATTGCTTGAAGTTACTCTGCTTTGATATTTCTCCACATGACTAAGTAGACGGTTGTTGCAAGGTTTTCTGAAATCTCGAGAAAGATTTTCTGAGACACTTTGTGGTTAAAGATTTCAGGAGGAAAAGAAATAATTTTCTACATGGTATAATTTAGTGCTGGATAAAAATAATCTTTGTTGTTGAGCAAGAGAACAAAGAAAGAATTGTAAACGTCAATCACAGGCTCAAAATCTGGCAAAGCCAAGTGGCATAAAAAAGTAAAAGAAAGAACTAAGGCTATATAATGTAAAACGTTTTATTCCGAACTTTCATGAAAACACCTTTGATTTGGTATTCTGAATACATTAGTTTTTATCTTTACTGCCTGGTTGTGATAACCTACCCTTTTCTTAGATCAGTAATACTTCACAAGAAAGGAAGGAAATACGTTTCTTTCTCTATCCAGTATACTGTATGTTTTCCGTGACAGTCCTTTTTTTGCGGGTTTGTTTACTATTTCATGTGACTCCATGCTGCTATGCGGAAGCCATACCACCAATGGCCCTTAGGGTCTGCGTAAAGTACACCGTTACACTTCCATTGTAAAATCTGGAGTAGTATATTCAGACAGAGAAATTGTTCCTTTAGGCAACATTGTCACTCTTTCATTGTGCATTCATTCACAACCTTTTTAACAATACACACAAATACTATGATGACCTGAATTGAAATGGCACCGAATTCATTCATACATTCAACGCCCACTTTGCCTCAAAGGGGAGATAACTGTATAAATGTAAGCACTTATTATATTTGTTTTGTAAACATAATAAACAGTCATCATAATTCATATCAAGTAAATACAAATTTAACATGAATGAGTGCACAAACACCCTATTAAACGCATTAATAGTGCACATGATATTGTCAAAATCTGTGAGAATTTAAGGAAAAAAATCTTTAAAAAAATTAAACGGTAAGAAATGTCTATATTAAAAAAATCTAGACCGACATAGAATAATTCATCTAACATTAGGAATATTAAGTCGTTAATTCGACCTTGCATTGTGTGTCGGAGACATTATGGGGTGTTTCGGTTGATAGATGTCTGAAAGCTGGTGGTATTCGGTACCTGGGTTCTGAAGTTTCAAAAAAAGGAAGAAAAACATTTTCATATAAATTAGATTCCAGTGTATTTATCACTTGAATTTGCAAAGGATGTAATTGTTGATCATATCTAGGACTAGGGAAAAAAAACCTGAAAGGAAAGAAAAGAAAGACCATGATAATGATGTATATTACATCTTAATTCTGACAAGCATTCAGCATGAATTATCCAGCTTCATGCAAAATAGTATGCAAATGACATAAAACCATTAAATTCAAAGCTGAACATTAAAATAACAACTGAAATTGAAATCTCTCAAGACAGGAGGACAGGCGAATATGCATGGGCAATTTGTGTAGTACAATATGACACGGATATTCTTTATATCACCTTCACGAACTCCCAGAATATTTTGTTGAGGCCCACCGATGAATTAAAGTAGCATTTCACGATCTATTTAAAAGTAAATAAAGATCTACAGCTCTCTCCCCGACCAGTACGAAATGGGCCGGGATATGGAATTAAATGCCTTAGATGCTATTTATTTCGATCTTACACTTAGAAGCGAATCTGTCTTACATATTGTCCTTCGATTTCTTCTATAATGAATTGAAATGTTTTTAATTCTTTGCTCTAAGCACTATACACCATTTTCCTGTCATTTATTATCCAATGGCTAACAACCCCACAACCTTTACATTTACTTTCAACTCAAGTAGTTCTCAGATATTTTTCCTTAAGATGGCAGATTTTGAATTTTCTAATTGAGATTTTAAGACAAGTCCAATTGTGCATTAGAACATAGAAATCTCTCTCTCTCTCTCTCTCTCTCTCTCTCTCTCTCGTGACAAGTTGTGATGTTCATATGTGTTCCTTTTAACCAAATACGGACAAACATTCGCGGTTGTCTTAATGAAATTTCCTCCAATTACGTTTATATTACAAAGAACTGCTTGGGAAAGGGTAGAGCCTAATTTCATCAGTTTCTCGGGAGTTTGATGAAATCTGTCTTTGCTCAACACACAGATAATGAGCTAAGAGCAGTTATTTAATAAACTGAGATTACACACCAGGATGCGCCCTGTAATGTTCATACAAAATGTTCTAGATACAGCAGCTTGGGAATCCTACTCTTTAAGTTAAAGGTTTCAATCAGCCTCAGATAGTTCACGGTTTCTCTGGTGTAGTGATGCTATCATAAACCTACACCGGAAAATTATTCCCTATTATTGTCCAAATGTCGTCATCAACCGATTGAAATAGATAAAAGAACTGATACTTTTTTCTTCAGGTATCAGACCCAAAAATGACAACAGTAAAGATTTGGTGATTTCAGGGATCACCTCGCCGGGGGATGTCTTCTGTTCGGTACCCGGCCGACTGTCCCTCCTCAGCAGTACCTCAAAATACAAGGTGACGGTCGCGGAGGTTCAGAGACGATTGTCCCCACCGGAATGCCTCAACGCTTCACTACTGGGCGGGGTGCTCCGAAGGTAAGCGATTTATAAAGTGGGTATAATAACAGATGCAAATTTTTGCCCCCGTTTCCTTTGACAAGTGTCCTCCTACTGTTTTTTCATGAAGGAGGAGGGTTCACAAATAGCATCAAAGACGGTTAGACGCTACCAATTAAGAGTCCTCGATGTGTTTATCGCAGCGGAGAGCTGCAGCCTGATGTATCCTCATTTCAAGCTTCTTTTAGAATTTCAGCTATGGCGCATTCATAAGGAACAATGACGTTTTCAACAGGGAAGGAATTTACAAACAATTATCTTCAGAACACATCTTAATCTTTAAATAACCCACCGATTTCCATATTGTCACCTGTTCGTTAAATTCAATGCTAACCTTAACACTTTTTATTACAATTTACCCTAAAAATATACAGAGTGAGAGGCTTCATATTTAGTGAACAGTAATTTTAACAGAGAAAATAGGAAAGTTTAGCGTTTGTTACAATGTACCATTTAAAATTAAAAATTGATATAAAAACTTTTGCGTTAAAATGTCGTATAAAATTTTTTACTGTGATATAGGGAAGAAAAACACTCACGTAGGATAAACTTTTAAATCAATTTTAAGTGCTCTTGACAAGTTGAATTACTAATGATCTTATTTTTTATTAATACACCGGATTAAAACTGTTCGATGGAGATCTTTTTAATCCGTTGTAATTAACTTGAGAACTAAATGCTTTTTCATGGGTTGTACAAAATAGAATTATAGGCCCTCTAGTTGTAAAATTGACTTTACAGTGTTAGGGACTTGGAGTACTCATGCACGCTGTATCTTCCTCGCTATATGTCTGCAAGGTCCCTTCGGCTTTTTCCCTTGTTTGAAAACCCTCTGAGCGATGAAATCAAAGGATTAAATATAGAGTTTTTAAAAAAAATGTTTTAATATTTTTAAAAGTTACTGAAACAATAACTCATTATGAAATATATTTTTGGTATATAAAACATAGAACGAGGAAATTTATGTATTATAACTTAACAGAGTAATTTTTGTTTTATTTTGCAGAGCAAAATCCAAAAATGGTGGACGATCGCTCAGAGACAAATTAGACAAGATAGGACTAAGTCTTCCAGCCGGGCGCAGGAAGGCGGCCAACGTCACGCTGCTGACGTCACTAGTAGAGGGTAAGTGAGCACAACTTTAATTTTTCATGCGTTATATAAATAAATTTTTCGATTAACATTAGATAAATATCAAATTAGGTAAAAATCAGGCAATGAAGAATATAAAAATCAAAATATATTTTGGTCTTGTTGTCTGGAGGCAGTTTTCAGAAGACAAAAATGTTTTTGAAAGTGCATTGATCTATTTTAGTTTTATTAATGCATCGTTATGAATTCTCTTTAAATACAATTTTGTTTAAAATGCGCTTAATTAAAGCTTTGTTTTTCGTGAAATTAATATACTGTACCTGAATTATTGAAACTTGTTTTTTAGATGATTGATAACCTTAAAATATTTTTTAAAATGATGATTATATATCCTTTCAATTCTTTGACGGTTTAATTTTTTTTATGAAAAATTAATGGATAAATTAAGGTCTTTATTCCAAGAATCTTACATCTAACTATTCAAAGATTTTTAAAAATAGTTGTTTTTATTGTATCTTTTTTTATATACAATAAATAAAAGTAAAATAAAATGTGAGATATTATATGTCAGATTTCTGCTAAGTTTAATATTTCAAACAATTGTAATCTCCAATATATATATAGAAACCAGACCTGAGTTAAGCTTGGTCCCTAGCCTGGCCCCTCGGATATCGATAAAGCCATGAAGTCATAAAATTGTCCAAATGATATATAGAGATGATCTAATGAAATTGATGGCAGCTATTTGGCAACACTGGCCTTTCATCTGTTACTCGGGAAACAGATGATACACCCTTGTGTTTACCAAGCCGCCGATCATCTGTAAGCTCTAGTGAGCATCATTCAGTAAAAAATAAAACAAGCATTAATTTACGGTCTTTATCCATATTTAGATGCTGTCTCCATTGTAACTATAGGTATCTTTCTCTTTATTCTCTGAGAATAGCAGAAAATATATTTGGCAGTTTTGGGTTGAAATAATAAACATGTTAGATAATTCCTTTCTATAGAAATAATGAAGATTTCACATTAAAGTTACTCTTGAATAAAATATCAAAATATAACAATATTAAATGAGTCCCTAAATAGAATGCATATTGTACTTTTTAGTCCATTTTCAAGCAAAATCCTGAAATATTGTGAAAATTAATTCAAGAGAATAAGCCGTTAGACAAGACAAACTTAGTGACCCTTGTAAAAAGTCTTGCCAAAAACAGAGAGTTACAAGTCGCTCCTATTTGCGGACATGCATGATGGATTTAGAGAACACTTCGTTCAGCCCGATCACCTATTTTAAATGCAGAATGTGTGTGTGTGCGTCTATTTTATTTGCTACAAATAGAAATTTATAATATTGATATTATCTCTTTCTATGAAACATTCATATTGCCTTTACATTAAATCAATATTCAGGTAAATGTCAAAATTTATAATTTTAAAGTTCAGTTGTTGCCTGTCTCCGTTAATATTCAAATAAGGAAGTTCATTACCAAAAAAAATTACCTTCGCAATCCTAACAAAACTAACGCGACTTAAAACATGATTAACATATGTTGTGATCCTAAAAAGAATTCTTTTTCCATTCCTTTTTTAAACAAAAATAAATAGAGGCGTTGGAGAGATCAGTAATAAAGGTGAACTGAGGAATAAGATATATATTATCAATTTCCTTTCAATACTTTCATTTGTGAAGAAAAGAAAACTGTTATCAAATAAGAATACACAAGTACATGAAATCAGAGAGAGAGAGAGAGAGAGTGAGTCCAGAATTCCTAACAGTCATTAACCGTCATGTGGTCATCAATCACCCTTGCGTCTAAGTCCTGTCACATTGCTTGGGCAGCAGTTCTACCTACATATAAAACCTGTTACACAGTTTTTAGGTCACCTGTTTGGTCCTCTGCGTTTTCTAACAATTTTCCTTGATATTGTGTCGATGTTTTTCTTGGCTTTCACTTGTAAGCAGGATATCCGGAGACAGTCCCTAATGTCAGAGTGAATTCGTTATGGTCCTGTGCTTTAAAGATTCTTTTTTAAAGATTTAGAGAAATTTTCAAATAAAAAGTAATATTTTTCCCTTTTCATAAATGATATTTGAAGGACTTTATCGACGATACAACGAACCTATATTGCAAAAAATGTTTTAATGTGTTAGATCGATGAGAGTAGCAAGACACAATAAAAAGAACAATATTGAACGACAATAAAACTTATAACATATTACAGTGTTGTTCAAATGTTTGTTGTTGATATTTGTAGGTGAGTCTGTTCGTCTTGCCCGTGACTATGGGTATCTTTGTGAGACTGAGTTCCCTGCTCGCCAGTGTGCTGAATACAATGCCAGACAGTACAGCAGTGATCCTACAGACCAGATGGCCCGCAAAAACATGATCTTAGCCACAAAGTAAGCAACCAAATATCACACATACCATCTTACGACAATAAATGTTCAACTGTCATATCAGGAAATAAACATTCCCAACAATGTAGCAGACTGTTCTTATACCGTGTTTATGTTTCAGACAAATCCTGAAGGAATTCATGGACTTGTTGAACCAAGACCGCTCTCCGCTCGGCAACACGAGACCCCAGCCTATCCTGGAGCCGGGGATTCAGAGACATTTAACTCATTTTAGTTTAATTACTCATGGTTTTGGATCGCCAGCCGTAGTGGCTTCTCTGACGGCCGTGCAGGCCTATCTTAATGAAATGTTGAAAATATTGGACAAATCCTACTCGACAGGAACCGCCCAGGTGCAGGGCCAGCAGATGGAAAATGGTGTAAAACCTAAACTGTCGGAAAAGGATGAAAACCGACGAGAATGATTGTCGTGTGTTTGTGCAGGCGACACACGGGACGGACGCAGTCTATATCAAAAGTGCTGACTGGTTCCTGGCAGTGGAATCGGTTTTATCTGACTAGAGCCTCCATTGGTCAACCCTTATAGTGAAGGAACCAACGAGGCATACATTTTGTTCAAATTATCAGGGTCATAACTTTATATACATATAGATTAAGATTAGATGTAACGATTTTCATAAGAAATCCATCTGTCTTTCTAAAACAAAGGAAACGTTCTTTGGGCAATAAATTTTCTAAAACATGTCTTGAGAGCAGCGACACAGAAGGACACAACAAGAGCGATTTATCACCCAGTGTTTTTTGTTCACGTTATTTCCTTCGTGAGAAACCTATGTCACAGTAGACAATTTACTGACTGACTTCTAAAGAAAGAAAAAATCAAAACAAAGAAATACATACAGACTAAATCAACCTTAGTGGACTTCAGAATCTGAAGATTTCTGCTGCAATACTGAACTGCTCTTATTATTTTAAGATTTAGCATTATATCAATATGAATGAGCATTATGTTACTGGTTCTAGTCTTTTGATTTTTGTTTGTTTTATTTTAATGAATCTCACAAGAAGTATATGTTTACTTATAACATAATATTGATGCTATTATTTTGTGTAAATATTTTGAGGAAATACTCGTTATTGAGAGAAAGAGAGAGTGTTAGTGAGTGTGATTTACATATTAATTCCAGATGACACCTACGTCACCACTGCATTCCTTACCGCCATTGTCTTGAGACCAAATTTGTGTGAAGAAGGAACATGTTTATGTGTAACCAAGTGTAAGTGTGTGTGAATGAGAGAATTTTCCAGTTTGGAGTACATATAAAGAATATCATATTGTACAAGCGGTCAAGGAATTCATGAAAATAAATTAAAATACACAAAACTACAAATGACTGTGTTTAGCGAATTATTTTGGATGGTGGAATTGATTTCAGTAGATGGCATTACAATGCTTTAGCTTTAGAACACTTGCCAATTGATTTAATATGAAAATGAAGTTAAGGTTATGAATATTTATTGGTATTTCCAGGCTAAAACCAAGATTGTCTTCATAGTAATAATAAAAAGTAAATGTCATTTAGATGCATGGCGTGTATAAGGATGATAATGAAACTGCAAATAATTTATATATAGTAAATTAAAATATTTGAAATTTAATTTAAAGAATCACTTTATATGATTTTTACCATATTGCACATTTGTGATTATTTCATTTTTTTAATTCTTCAAGATGCTTTTTTTATTATAATCGTAAGATACAACAAAAAAAAATCTTCAAAGAAATGTATAGTTTGAACCATATTTTATTTGAAAATCATATGTATAAAATACAGGCATTAAATGAAGTTCAAACATGTTTCAAAAATATAATAAATTCGTGTCCTCTGATTGGTAGAAGTAACAGATCTTTGTTTGTTGGGTAGTACAAAATAATACTGTTGAAATTATTTTTAATTATTAGAGGAAAGAGGACTTAAGATTCTACTTTACATAGAAATAAATATAATTTAGTTAATTGTTGCAACTTCTTAAAATATACATTTTTATTAAAAAGCACATACATTCGTGCAATGTTTTTTTTTTTTTTACAAAATTTTTTTTTAGTTTTCTAAAGAAGGAAAATAAATACATGCAACTTCAGTACACCAATAATGCAGAAAATAAGAAATGACAATTCAAATATGGTCTAAAAAAATAGGAAAATCTGTTTCAAAATGAATTGATGGACTAAAAAAACAACAAGCTTTTGTATTTCATCCACCTAAGATTTTGATACGTAAATACATATCTTAAAATGTAGAAAAACTATTATTGATTATTTAGACAAAACACCGGGTATAATTTTACAGTGTGTCTTCACTGATTTAAAAAAAAAAATGAAAATTGCACATGAATAGTCATGAAACCAAAACATTAAACAACTGGGCTATCTGAAACTTGTCCTTGTTCATTTTAAAGGTTATATTAGCCAGAAAACATACCTTCTCTTATGTAAACTGTTCTTCCTTAAAGGAATGAATAAAATAACTTAATAAATATTCTCACTGGGTGAATAACATTATAAACTATTTTAAAGCAAGAGTAAATAAAATTAAAATTTATCTGTTTGGAAACCATGAAAAGAAAGGGGTTATACTTACATTACATTTTTCTTGTAAAAATCCAGTTAAGAAGAGAAAAATAATTAATCCTTCCCTTTGAAGAAATTTAAGAATTCTAAAATGACTGAGCCGGGTTTCGTTAAAACAAAACCGGTGCCACGTACGCAATACAATTTTGTATTTCTTTGTTTTCCTGATGAGTGTATTGTAGGAGAAAATTAAAACTAAGACCTCTTCGTTCATATTCAGACATTAAGTAAAAACCAAGATATCTGTAGGGCATTGTTATAAGCTCAGAATTACCAGGGGCTAAAAGCTCGCGTATATTATGAAGAATGTTTAGATGCATGCTAGTATTTGCCTTCGAGGAGTTTAGAAATTTGCCTTCGAGCTCTAGGTAAAAGCACTTTAATATCTTTTTATTTAGTTTGTTTTGATTAAGTTCATCTGAACTAGTTCACTGTTTTGATTGTTATGTTCAGTGACATTTTTTTTTTACTTTAAGCAATGCAAATCATATTGTTCAAATGTTTAGATACTTTTTATTAATAATGCCTGTAATTAAAACTATTATTAAATAAAGTAAATTCTTATTTCGCTTCAGGTAATAGAAAATAGTATTTATTATATGACAGAGAAAAAGAGAGCGATGTTTAATTTTTCTACGTTATATTTATAACAGATACTGGGTCTGGAACTGCTTGTGGAATTAAAAATGATGTCGTCGTTATTAGAGGGAGAGAATGAACAAAACATTAAATTATTTTTATTACATCAAATATTTCAATTAGAAGCCCCCTCTTCCGAATAAAGGATCTTTTTTTCTTATTTCATAAATTAGTGAAAAAAAAATACAGTTATTATATTTTAAATATTTTCATTATATTTACATTTATTTCTTGCATAATTTAAGTTTTTCTAAAAGAGTTTATAAGTATGGCGACTTTTTATTCACTTAATTTTGGAAAGTTTCTTATTTCACTTAGACTTCTGCCCACAGAAACGAAAAAGAAGTGTGTAGATAAAAAAATAATTCCCAGAGGCAAAAGAATATATGAATGAGACTGCATGGGAAACAATGACAGAATTTTTCTTTAAGAAATAAACCCAAACATGCCCTCAGGGGCATAATTTCATTCTGGTCTTTATTTAATTTTTTCATTTATATATTAAGGTGGAGGTCAGAAATGCACAAGTCTGGCAAAATTGTTTTACAGTAAACTTTATACATTTATGAAACCAAAGAAATAAATATTTTCAAAAATAACAAGAGTGTAAACAAAATATTATCCGTGTTGTTAAATATATTTCCAAAAAATATACCGAAAAAAAAAATACTTTACACATGCTGAAACAATGAAATATAAAAAAAAAATATCTTTTTTCTTAAAAAAAAAAATAAATCCTACAACAAAAAACATTTTTATGGATCAATTCATCCCAAGTAATGCCTTATTAGTACCGTTAACCATGTTCCATCCCCCTCCCTTTTGTTAAATGTCATCTAACACGCGGAATTATCTCCAAATGCAATGCATAATAATAAAAACCAGGGAATTTCTCATTTTGAGGAATTAACGTGAACAATGTTTTACACTTTTAAAGCGTAGTATGCCGTATACAACAGAAGCGATTGTTGCATTGGACATCGGTTACACAGCGTGAAAGCAATTCGTTGGTCATTTGCAGTAATTTGAAATTCATAGACACTGATTTGCCGTAATAAAGTTATCGGTGTCGTGTGAAATATGAAACACGATCTAATTCAAATAAATGACGAATAAAGGAAAAAATCAATAGATACTGCGTCAGGACTCAAAGTTAGTCGCCTTAACGAGATTCGGAGGCTGGGGAGGTGAGACGGGAAATAATCATCCCTCCAATAACAGCCCTACACCGCCATTCTCATGCAGTTTGCTGCTCTGCAATGAGCCTAATACAATATTGAGAGACAAAATTCGCAATTCAAGTGGGCTTATTATTGTTTTAATAAGTGTAATAAGGCAGGAAAGGGGAATTAACTCTCATATGTCTTACTGATGAAACACCCTGTCTTTATATATCTTTAGCCATGTTTTTAGGCGTATTATATATCTTCTTTTTCATAAATATTCAATTTACTTTTCCCTGAAGATAATTTAATAGTATAACTGGAATCAGATTCAGATTTGTATTTTGTTATTCCACTGTCTATTAATGCCTCAGAAAAAAATTAAATCTGGATAACAATTTTATGTATATTTTACCTTGAGTTGTCTTTAGAAATAAATAGTTAATCTAGAATCAGATCTCCAAATCATATTTGTTCAGTTGAAACTGGGATGAGAAGGTATTGAAAGAGATAATTCAATATGCTTTTTGTTTGAAAATGATAGATGCTTCTACATCAATATATTTTAAGTTGTAGCAAGTTTAAAGATGAAAGAAACTCGTTTATTACCAAATATGATATGTTAAGACCAAAAGTGATCAAATGAAGTATGAAATAACAAGCAGTAATCAGGCTCAAAAATCTGTTAAAACAACATAAACCGGTACCAGAGCAAAAACAACCTTCTTAAACACCAGACATGGGATCAGGTGCCATGGAGGAGTAAACTATCCTGTCAAGAAGTCACACCCGTCGTGCAGGATTTGTCGTGATCAGACAAACTGAAAAATCCGTCTACAAACAATTCAGTTTGAAATAAATACGTACTAACTATTGTATGAAAAATGTCAGTTGACATTTGACTTAATGCTAGATTTTTATTTGATGACAAGACCTTGTATTGACCATAGTCTTTGCTAAATGTTTACTTTAAAAGAGACATTTGATATTCTTGTGTCATCGACTTTCTGTATTTGTCAATAGTTTTCATCTTTTAGGAAATTGTAGGTAAAGCATACAGTACTCTTGCGTATCGAAATAATTGGACATTGGCAGGTGAGAATGGTATATTGCTTCATAATTCCAATCTTCATTTTATGTATTGATTTCCTGTGTTTTGATTGGACGAGAACACGTTTAAGAAAAAATTTACACATCGATAAAATTTTTCAATGAGAACTACTTTCTTGATAAAGCTTCTAGGTTATCGTATAAACAATGATTGAATGAAAGCAGTTATTTCTGGTCTGTTTTGGCTAAATTATGAATACAAAAAACTTCAAATTTAATTAATTAAAACAAAACTGGCGAAAAACTGGATTGCCCAGCTGACGGACGCCATGAAAATGTTTATGTCACTGTCCGATCACCATGCAGTGTGAATTTAAAAAAAACGCTGTCTCGACGTTCATAATACGAAGAAAATTAGCTCAGTTTGTATCGTTTTGACAGGGAAACGAAACGTACCTCAAACTCTTGCCATATTAGCATCAAATTCATATTTACTTTCTACATTGTTCCGCAATCTTTTAACAAACAAGTGCAAATAAAAAATCGTCGGTCTGCAACTTTCGCTATGAGAGTTGTCGTTCATGTCAACATGGCCATGGTCAAGGACGAACTATTCTGAAGTAAACTCATAATTACGATATTTGTTGACTTAAACAATATTCGATAAGTCTTTATAAGTTTCTTTATCGATTGTTTTGACAACTTAAAGATGAACTTTATCGAAATTCATCTCGATTACGTTCCTTTGCGATAAAATGTATTCCTACGCCGTCCAGAAATAACGGATTGTATGGAGGCCTCAAAGAGAAATAATTTAAATATATTTTAAAATTCGATATTGGAATTATAAGAATTAAACGTTCTTTTTGAAAAAATTATCGATGTGTAAACTCTTGACATTTTACTC